ATTTTCCCCCCAACTTGGAACATGCTTATTTACAATTAAAAACTACTTAAAAATTATCTCTCTTGTGTTACGTGGGCTTGAATGCAAACGCCTTAATTTACAATTAGACGGGCTGAAGTGTTTCTCTGTGGAACAATAGATTTCATTGTCCACTCCATATTTATTCTAATCTTCCCTTTATTGTTTTGAAGAAAGCTCATCAATCACCATCTCTGGACCTTAAATTCTCAGATACACATTTGATATTTATCCAGTCTGTTCTCTAAAAATAGGCTGCTTTCTCCTTGTTTTCTTCCTCCTTAGAAAACAGTTGCCCCCTGCAGAATGTTAAATTCTCCCACTTTTGTATGTGTACCTTACGGCAGAGGATTTTTCTTCCAAGAAGGGCGAGACGGAACATATCAGCTCAGTGCCAGAATATCCTGGGTGATATTTTCAGAGTGTCTCTTCTTTCTTAAAGCTTATATAAACTCTGTTTCTGATGCAGTGAGAGCCAAGTGAGTATATTTGTATACACCCTTTACAGGGGTCATTTCCTGCTGGAACGCACCGGAATGGCGCTCCAGCAGTAAGGAGCCCAGGGGGGCCGCCGAGGCGGACGGGCCAGGAAGGCCTGCAGAGCCCCCCTAGCGCCTGTGAGGGATTTAAATGCCTTTCTTACCCTTCCCCAGGACAGGCATTCTAAACATGCCTGCCCTTTGTCAGGGGGTGTGGCATATGCAAATGAGTTATGCAAATGAGCTCATGCACCTCTTTTTCTACGAAATGACCCCTGCGGCCTTTCATCAAATGAATACAGAGATAAGTAAAATGAACCTGCATTGCAGCATGTTATCACTATGCAAACTGAACGGTCACGTGATCTTTTATGTCCACTACAACTTTTGAGAGATACTTTTAATTTCAGTGATGAGCATTACAGATGGCTGTGGAGCAGGTCTCAGAGAGCAGTCTGGCCTGGAAAGCGGTAGCCTATTTGACTGCAATCAGTACTCGGGATGTGAGCACAGGAAAGCAGATTCTCAGAGGTGGCCCACCTGCCGCTTTGATAGCTCTTACATGCTGGTATTGGGTCGGTGTTGGAAGGAGATGATCAATAGAGGGGCCAGGCACACACTTGGTGTCACCCTGTCTAATGGCTGCTTGCTTCTGTGATGGACGTTTGTGTGCTAGTACAGTCAGTGGACCCTTCTCAGGCCAATCTAAGCTTCAAGTGTTAAAGGACATTTAAGCATAAAACAGCATTCGGTTACTTATGCTTTAAAATGTAGTTTATTGTGACCCTTGGATGCAGCTGTCCTTTTAAACATCCTCCATATAGAGAGGGAAGCACAGGCCAACAGGAAATCCAGCTGTATTCAGCTATCTTTGATCTAGGC